AAATATTATTAAAAATTACAAATATTAAAAATATTACAAAAAACTCAATTAAATAACAACAATAAACTAAAGATTGAGCAGGCAGCGCAACGCAACCCTAACAACAACAACTAAAAATGTGAACTAAGTTAATTAAATATCAAATGCTTTACTTTATCGACTAACACAATCAGCTTAGAATTTGAACAAAAAAGGATGAACACACTCTAACATTGCCACGATGATAGCAACGCCCAGCAATCTGCTAAGTTTGTTTAATTCGTAGTCAACGACCACAATACTTAATCGTACTTGCACCGAAGCGAAGTCACAATTTACTTATAAACATATATACTTATATATATGTGGAAATGGCAATAAGGAAACAGGATATAACGCTCGCAAAAGCTCGTCGACGCTCACGCTACTGGGCTGTATTTGACAGCATAAAATGGAAGAAAATTGAAACATTGCTTTTGTTGGATTTTCTGTCACAGAAATTCGAAAACAAAAGGAGTAATGCAGCAACGAACGACAGCAAAATGAGGAAGAACAATAAATTTGAAGTTGATTACACTAACAAGCAACTAAAACGATTTTGATGGAGTAAAATGGTGAAGTGCTGAAACGATACAAATGCAATGCAGAGAATTTGGTTTTGTTACATGTATGTATGTATGAGAATTTGGTTTTGTTATATGTACGTATGTTTTGTGTAGCGATTTACAATAATTTAGTCAAGTCTTTGTTATAATAGAATTAAAGCACTCGGAGCTGTGGGTGTGGAACAAAACTAAATGAAGGTTAATAATACGTAAAGTATTTATGTACCATATATTCACGAAGTTGATGTATATTTCTAAACCAAACAACAACACGATGGGTAGTTACTAACTGTGAAAATGTGTTTTAAAATTTTCCTTTTTCGATTTAAAACTAAACAGAGTTATTAGGCGGAATATCTCTTACTAAGAGCACGCTAACAATTTTCAATAACAAAAGCGATTTTAGTAATAGTTGATGACCCGACTACCGTCTGTTTTCAACCATAATTCCTCTAACCATATCTGAATCACTATTCTCCAAACTTTCAATCCTAATTCTTATCTTTAACTTTTTAGTGACATTTGAAGGTAAGTTAGGAGGTACACAGATCTTGATATTTTATATTACAATTCTATTTAGATTCAAAAAGTATTTTGTATCCCGCTTTCCTCAACTAAATATTTAAATAGATAGGAACTAGTTACAACGTATTAATTATTATATTAATGTGCCCGTCATTCCCTAAGTTAAGGTTTTTGCTGATGACCCCTATATTACCCCGTTAATCGCTTAATGCACATATCTTCCAAACAGCTCAAGTCTAAGCAACTAAATTTACTGAGCTCTTTTAAGCACTTCTTCATACACTTGAAAATGTAAAATCAGTTAAAGCCACGCCCACTCTCCATATAACAGTTTTGTTGAAAACTACTGAAAGTGTGATAACTCACTGAATAAACTGAACTAGTACTAAAAGCATTACATTTCCCCACCAAGTTGGTAGGTAACGGCTTTTTTTGAAGAGCGGTAAAAATTGGACAATGGGCGTGGCACTTTCCACATTTATGTGATATCCTAATCTCAGGAACTACTTTACTAATTTCAACCAAATTTGGTGTGTGAGAATATTTATACATTCCCATAATATCCTGAAAACCAAGTCTATTTCCCACATAACACAACTTGAAATACCAAACTAAACATCACGGAAGTTATCAGAGTAAAGCTTTGGGCCCTTTAGGAATTTCATTTTATGCCCAAATATTGTCGAAACTGGACTATAACTTTTCAAGAACCCAGACTCCAAACATGTGGACCCAATTGCATATGGCTTATTTTTTACCGAACATATCGGTCTATCTGTGGGATCTAGTATTGAAATTTGGGGAGAATATTTTTGTGACGAAAGTATGCGCTAGTGCCGGAAATGAGAAAAATCTGGTAAATACTTCCCTTAGCCCCTTTATGACTAATACAAATAGTTTTGAACTTCCGGTTGACTATATACCGCATCTCACGGTCCAGTGTATCCTCTTGCGTAAAATGAATGAAGTCAGGTCAATACTTCCCCTAGTCCCTATATACATAATATACGGATTTTCAAATCTACGCTTGACTTTATACCTTATATAATGGTCAATCTGTGAAGTTTTTTAAATAATTCAGACAGGAAGTATTTTTGGTATTTACCATATATGTATGTCGATATACCAAAACTGTATCAAATCGGGTCCAAATATTCCCTAGCTCCCATATACTACACATACGAAAATTTATAAGAATTATACTCGTATACATATGTAAGAATTTCAAACTTCCGGTTGGCTTTATTCCGTATTTACTGATATATGTCAATATTAAAATACTGCAATATCGAATTACTCCAGTTACATGCATATACTATGTATATATAATAGTAATACTTTTCATGCGTTCATTACGAAATTGGAGTTTCCCAACCTTTCGTTGATATTTTCCTCATATATCCCATATATGTATAGATTTTAGCCCTTTTTATTGAGTTTAAATGACATATGTTCATATATCTCATTCGAGTTATAAAGGTTAATCTTAATATTAATATTAATATATCGGACATTAGATTAGATTAGTTTTAAGGTATGCACCGCGACCTATGGTCTATTGTGCCCTCCCCTAAGTCATATCGTAATTTCTAGGCCCAGCATGTTGATAAATTCCAAAATTCTGCTGGGTGCTAGTGAGGCGATACAATCACTGTGTGGAAACATTGATCCCAGGGCCTTGATTCTGCGTTTGCAGACTGCTGTGCAGTTCATCAGCAGATGTTCAGGGGTTTCCGGCTCTATGTCGCAGAACCGGCAGTTTGCAGAAGAGGCTATAGAAGAGATGCTTCTTGAGTCTGCAGTGACCGGTGTAGAACGCGACAAGTAGCCGGAATTTGTTTCTCGGGAGATTAATTAATTGGCTTTGAACCGTTTGAGGTCGTAACCCCCCATTAGCAGTCTGGCATGGTGCATGCCATGAAGTTGTTGCCAATGTGTTTCCCTGCATGGGAGCTCTTTAATGGTATGTGGACCAACCGCTATGAATGGTTCCGGTCCTACTATTTTTGTAGAGGCTGCAGAGCGGGCCAACTCGTCAGCCAGTTCGTTCCCGGCTATACCCCTATGGCCAGGCACCCAAATAAGGTGCACTCTGTTGTGCTCTGATAGGCTGTTCAACCGTTCTATACACTCCAGCACTTAAAGAGATCTGACCTCATAGACAGAGATCGCTCTTAGTGCCGCCTGACTATCCCTGAGTATACTAATACTTTTATTGCGATAGTTGCGTTGGAGGTTTATCCCTACACACCGACTTATAGCATAGACCTCGGCTTGGAAAATGCTCGGGAAACGTCCCATGGGAATGGAGAGTTTGGTGCTTGGCCCAGCGACACCTGCACCAATCCCCTCCTCCGTTTTCGACCCATCGGTGTACCACTTGATAGTGCTTTACCTTAGCAGCAGGTCGAGTGATGAATCATTCCATTAAGACTTGCTGCCAAGGGTTACTTTGAACTTCCTGTTGAAGTTTATTACTTTGGTAATGCTCTCCTTTGGGAGAAGGGCTAGTGGTATTTCCTCACTTATCGCCTTCATCTGCTGGGATGAGATTACTTTCCCTTTGCCAACTCCCTCTGATGTCATTTGGAGCAAAGTTCTAGCATGACTTCCAGTGCTGCGGTCGAACACGTTCGCATTGCTCCCGATGCGCAGATGCAGGCAAGTCTTTGCAGCTTCGACAGTTTGAGTCCTACCGAAGTCTGTGATGCTTTAGAAACCCACGATACCGCTCCATACGTGATAATCGGTCTCACGATCATGGTGTACATCCACCTGATTGTCCTTGGGGAGCACCCCCAGGATTTACCAGCAAGTCGGTTGCGCACCATGAGTGCTTTTGTAGCTTTAGTTAGGGTCTGGTCCACGTGCTGCTTCCATCGTAGAGTGGAATCCGCGTGAGGCCCAGATACTTGACGGTGCTGGCCATCTCCACCACTCTGCTCAAGGGATATATTTCTGAGGCCTGGCAGTGACCTCCGTCTGGTGAAGGGAATGATTGTAGTTTTAGAAGGGTTGATGTTCCACCCTCCTTTCGGTTTCTTTAAAGAATGCATGTTGAATTGTTTTGCAACATTTCAAACCTAAAAGTATTTCTCCGCCTTTGATCTTTTCGGATTGCGAGAGTACAAAATGTTCGGTCACACCCGAACTTCTTTTTTAATATTAAATTAAGTGAAAAAGTAACCATAAAAATGGTCAAATCTAGGTAATTTTGCTAACTATAACATCCAAATTCTTAATTTTTTTCTGAAAGGAACTAATAGCTGAACATCTTATGATATATAAACATTTTAAATTGCGGGCAAAAAATGTTGTCCACCATCCAAAAATCTATGAAAATCAAATGAAATATCGCCTTAAACACTGCAACTAGAGGGCGCAATAAGCTCAGCAAGTACATAAACCAAGAGAAAATAAATTATAAAATTACAAGAAATCAGAGTAGAGAACGTAAATGAAAATTTATTAACATTCTCTGGTTCTATTCATTAACATTCTCTGCAATCATTTACGCAATTTTTAATTAAAAGCCAAATTTAAATTGATAAAGTAGATAAGCTATATAGGAGATTATACATATATATTTCTAGCATTAAACCAGAGAATGTTGAAGAATTTTCATTTACGTTCTCTGCTCTGATTTCTTGTAATTTTATAATTTATTTTCTCTTGGTTTATGTACTTGCTGAGCTTATGCGCCCTCTAGTTGCAGTGTTTAAGGCGATATTTCATTTGATTTTCATAGATTTTTGGATGGCGGACAACATTTTGTGCCCGAAATTTAAAATGTTTATATATCAAGATGTTCAGCTATTAGTTCAGCCTTAGTTCCTTGATGTTATAGTTAGCAAAATTACCTAGATTTGATTCATTTACGTTCTCTGATTAAACTTACCAGACTGATTAAACTGCCATCAATTGTATTTGTATATTTCATAGATAATGCTGTTTAATTAGAACGCGCCCGTCGCAGGATCCAAAGATCACAGTTGGTTTCCGTTGCCGGCAGCACACGGTATACGTACGAAAATTTAAAGTTTTCCGCTGCAATTTAAAAGTTTTCAATAAACGCGTTCTACACTTCCACTATACCCGCAATTATTTACTAAATTTACATATAAATATGTATGAATTTTAGTTCTATAAGACGATCTACTATTAGTAAATCCACTTTTATTTTCACTTAAAAGAACAAAATTTATGTTTATGATATGATCGAAGACGCACACTGATTCATTAACATTCTCTGGCCAAACCATTGCCTTAATTTGCACTTTACAGAAAATACGGTCTGATTAGATTCTGCCAATTGCCGGAACTATAAAACTGCACTGGCTTCCGTTGCCGGTAGCACACAGAAATCCGTCAGTAAATTTTTAGTTCACTGTGAGCAGACCGCGCATATACGGCACCACTGTAAGACTATTCTAAAATCCAACTTTCTTTTCCCGTAACGCACCAAATGTTGTATTTACTATATAGCCGACTACACGCACTTTACTTATAAACTATTTTCAACACTTTTCACTGATTCTGACTTTTCTTCACAATATAAGATCACTTACAATTTAAAACAGTTCTTTTCGCGATAAAAATTAGATGCCACGAAAATAGCGGTAGTTAATTGACAGCCACTCCACCAACAAATCAAAGTAACACGTTTTGAAATTGGGCTCGGTAGATGGCGCTTAACACACGTGATTAAACGCAACAGAATGAAATATTTGAAACGAAGAGTAAATACAATATTTTATTGAAATAATAAGAAAAAATAATATTCTACAAAAAAGGTAATTGATATGAAGGCATACTGTCGGTTTTGCTTTAAAAAAAATTGCATATGCCAATTTGTGATACTTCTTGGTTTTAGTAAATTATTCAAACAATTATTTCTGCAAACATATAAACTATTTGCTGCACTTCTAACACCCTGTAGTGTGCAGCATCACCATTGCACACTTTAACAGTTTACTAGCAAATCGTCTGCCTTTCAACTGACAATTCTAAAAGTAATTGTAGAAACTTCCACGAGGACCATTCAAATTAACAATTTAGCAAGTAAATAGTTTAAAAACAGCACAAAATGCCAGCTGACACTACAACCAAGGTAAGTCTGCTTGTTATCCGCAACAAAATATTTATAATTCAATGCCTTCACGTTTTTTATACAGCAAGTTCAGGATTACAAAGATTCGTTAATCAAAAAAGCCGAACAACTTATTATACAGGGCTTTCCAGAGAAAATTGTTGAATTGAATGAACTCCTCGCAACGCCTATGTTTAGCGATCGTAACTTTAATGAAGTGCATCAAGACCTTAACATTCCAACGCCAGAACCAATTTTGGTGAACAATCATGCCGACTCGGCTGACGACGGTGGTGACGCCGACCAGCCGGCGGCAAAAAGACCACGCACCGATCACTTTGTGCCTGGCACCAAAGTTATGTGCTTGCCTACCGGTTCTGTACCTTGCAATGAGCCACTCTGCGAAATGATTAAAATCGTAAAACCAATTATTCGTAAACTTGTGGAAGATTGTAAGTAATGTCAACGCAATATACATTGTATATATGCCAAATTGTTATCTTACTGTTTCATTATTTCCAGCAAATTTATTAAAAATGTGGATTTCGTTTTTAATACCCAAAATCGAGGATGGCAATAATTTCGGCGTATCTGTACAGGAAGATACGCTTGCTGAAATACAAGCTGTTGAATCGGAAGCTGCGGCATTTTTCGACCAAATTTCGCGTTATTTTTTATCACGCGCCAAAGTTGTTTCGAAAGTCGCGAAATATCCACATATCGAGGATTATCGACGCGCAGTGGTGGAGTTGGATGAGAAGGAATACTTAAGCTTGTGGTTGGTTGTATGTGAAGTGCGAAATCGTTATTCATCACTACATGATATCGTTATTAAAAATTTGGAGAAACTGAAGAAACCACGTTCATCCAATGCTGATAGCTTATATTAAACTGTAATGAAAAAAACAACACGCAATCGTATTAAAACACATACAAAAGAAAACAACAAAGCATGGAGGCATGCGTAATAGTGAAGCCGTTACGAACAGGATTGAAGTTGTGTCAGCGCTGCAGTTAACAAGAAATGCATGAGTTAATATATCGGACAATTTTGGGTGCAAGCGGGATTGGTGAAAGGCGTGCAATGCGCGGTGACACTACTTAAGATACCTGTGGATCGTAACAACAAACCGCTCTCAACAGTTTATAATAAAATGCTTGAATTTAGTCATGTAAAAATGTGAATTGCGACGTTAAAAATATTGGTTAGTTCAATATATTTTGATTGTAATGTTAATTTCTTTTTTCTCAATCCATTTTGCATTAACTCAAGGTATATAAATATGTATGCATAGAACTTACGTAAGAAAAAAAAAAACACGAGTAAATAAAAAAAAGCCGAATTTTACAAAATTGGTTTTGTTATTTAGAAAACGCTGACTTAATTTTTGTTAAACGTGTAACTGACTTTGGCGTAAAATATTGATTGACAGCGGTTAGCGTGGCAAATTTTTTGTTGTAATTTAGAAGGCATTGTGTTGTATTTCACAATTGTGCAAAAACTTTTATTTTTATTTATATGTCAGCTATATGTACATATGTTTACACAAATGTTGCTGTCACAGGTATGTATGAGAAGTTGAAAGTATTGTCGGTCTCACAGCATTCTTTTGAAGGAAACAATGGGAGGATTAAGTGATGAATTTGCATTTTAAGTTGTTATAACAACAATAATAATAATTGGCTTGATTTAGTTAGTTTGTTGGGGCATATATTCATACATATAAATATATATATATATAAAATATAATTATTTAAAAAATTTAGGAAATTGAGGAAAGTCGATTAATGTGATTTTTGTAGGAATAGAAAACATTCATAAAGTAATTTAAAAAATGATGTCAAGTTGACAATCTTTTGTCGGTTAAAATTCCGGGTCCGTTTCGGTAACGTAGACCCTACTGTCGTAAGCATGTTCAATATATGTCGTAACATACATATGCTTTTCTTTGGCAGCTGAGCTCTCCGTTACAACAAAAAACCACTATAGTATTGCGATATCAGATGAACCACAAATTAACTTTGAGGTTAAGAACGATTATTTGCTGGAAGCAACTAAACATTTTTAGCAACCACTAAATATATTGGAAAAGTATAGAAAATCGAAGATGTTTTTACCGATCTGGTTATTATGTGAGAGTATAATAAATTTTCAAAAACTGACAATATTTGCTGGTTTAAGAAATAACGCAACGGAATAATTTATATATAATATTTTAAGAATTTTCGTATTTAAAGAACATAATACATAATCAGTAAAATCAGAATTAAATTTAGATTTAAATTTTTTTATTGGGAATTTAAATTTATTTTTTGATTCAAGACTTTTGGGATTAAAAATTGTATTTTTTAATTTAATAAATAAATTAATTTTATGAAAGCAATTAAATATAAATAAGATAAACAGAGCTAAACTATGTGGTTATTTTATTAAAAATAAGCTTTCCTTTAAAAAAGATAAACAAACTGATAGAAAACTATGTGCGCAAATTATGTAAATTCTAAAAAATTATTTTTAAATTTTTTATTATAATCTTGGAATTACAATTTTTTTCAATACGAGATTTGGGATAAAATTTTTGTTTTCAATTCATTAAAAATTCATGAATTAAAATGAATGAATTAAAATAAACTTTTAATTAGCCTTTTTTTTATTTTTCGATTCGGTATATATGTAGGCCTTACATTTTGTTTTCTTCAATCCCGTTTTCGAGATCAAAAATTTTAAAGTTATTTTAAATTAAGATTTTCGTGATTACAATATAATAAAAAAAAACATTTTAATTCAATATTTTTTTTTTATTATTATTTTATTATTTGCAAACCTGCATATAAGTTACAAAATTAATTAACTAAGCATTTTTATGTTATACCATTGACCTACTTCAGGTCTTAAAAAANAAGGAACTAATAGCTGAACATCTTATGATATATAAACATTTTAAATTGCGGGCAAAAAATGTTGTCCACCATCCAAAAATCTATGAAAATCAAATGAAATATCGCCTTAAACACTGCAACTAGAGGGCGCAATAAGCTCAGCAAGTACATAAACCAAGAGAAAATAAATTATAAAATTACAAGAAATCAGAGTAGAGAACGTAAATGAAAATTTATTAACATTCTCTGGTTCTATTCATTAACATTCTCTGCAATCATTTACGCAATTTTTAATTAAAAGCCAAATTTAAATTGATAAAGTAGATAAGCTATATAGGAGATTATACATATATATTTCTAGCATTAAACCAGAGAATGTTGAAGAATTTTCATTTACGTTCTCTGCTCTGATTTCTTGTAATTTTATAATTTATTTTCTCTTGGTTTATGTACTTGCTGAGCTTATTGCGCCCTCTAGTTGCAGTGTTTAAGGCGATATTTCATTTGATTTTCATAGATTTTTGGATGGCGGACAACATTTTGTGCCCGAAATTTAAAATGTTTATATATCATAAGATGTTCAGCTATTAGTTCAGCCTTAGTTCCTTGGATGTTATAGTTAGCAAAATTACCTAGATTTGATTCATTTACGTTCTCTGATTAAACTTACCAGACTGATTAAACTGCCATCAATTGTATTTGTATATTTCATAGATAATGCTGTTTAATTAGAACGCGCCCGTCGCAGGATCCAAAGATCACAGTTGGTTTCCGTTGCCGGCAGCACACGGTATACGTACGAAAATTTAAAGTTTTCCGCTGCAATTTAAAAGTTTTCAATAAACGCGTTCTACACTTCCACTATACCCGCAATTATTTACTAAATTTACATATAAATATGTATGAATTTTAGTTCTATAAGACGATCTACTATTAGTAAATCCACTTTTATTTTCACTTAAAAGAACAAAATTTATGTTTATGATATGATCGAAGACGCACACTGATTCATTAACATTCTCTGGCCAAACCATTGCCTTAATTTGCACTTTACAGAAAATACGGTCTGATTAGATTCTGCCAATTGCCGGAACTATAAAACTGCACTGGCTTCCGTTGCCGGTAGCACACAGAAATCCGTCAGTAAATTTTTAGTTCACTGTGAGCAGACCGCGCATATACGGCACCACTGTAAGACTATTCTAAAATCCAACTTTCTTTTC